CGCAGCATCAACATCACCGGCTCGTCATGATCACCTGCCGAGCCACCTGAATCGAAGAGCAGCAGAGACCGAATCGTCCTACCTGATGGACGTTTCGGCTGCCCTCCAGATCCTGGACAAGGGAAACGTGTCTACACGACTTTTGGAGTTAAGGACCCGAGGCTGAGGATTAATTTTTGGGGGAAGGGCTTCAGTGGTTGAGGGTTTCGGCATTTCGTCGCAGGGGCTTAGGTTTGAGGTGGGTGACACTAAGGGCGGACGCTGGCTGTTGATTTGCTTGGCTACTTACTACTAGCGCCGTCTTGCTGAGAGGTCCTTATCTCAGGACCCTCCTCTTCCTCTGGCAACCGCACCTTGCTACCCAATTAATGTAAGGGCCTTAATACTTAGAACAGGGTTTGGGGTATATTATAATAAGGAACCCCGAAATAGTATAGGCAATTATGAAGGTCCTTATATTTGCCACCACACCCCAGTTTCTCAGGTTGCAGGGTCCAGGCGGCTTCGTACTGGTACTTTCGGGGCTTTGAAAGTTTTAACCCTAAGTCCTGAACTCTCTTTGGAGCAGAAAAGGACCTTGAGCCCAACAGCCTGATTTCTAAACTGCAACTCCTGCGCCCTAGACTGGAAACTGCACCCTAAATCTAAAACCTTAACCCCGTGAGCCAAAATCCATAGCTGGGTTAAGGTTTAGGGTTTAAGGCTAGTTTTAGGTTTAGGTTTGACGGCTTTGGCACAGGGTTTTACGTAAAGTCGGTGCAAACCGAACATGCCCTTGGGATTTTGCTGTGCCGTTTTGGATCCAACAGGCTACCATAATTTTGATAATGCGAAAAGGAAGCATGGCAAAAACAACAATGTCTAGCTTTTGGGATATTGGGGACAGGCGATGTCCTGAGATACACGGTGCCCTAAACCCTACAAGTAATGTAGGGGCCTTAATAATTAGAATAGGGTTTTGGGGTCCATTATACTATACTTATAATAAGGAACCCCCAAAATAGTATTGGTAATTATTTAGGCCCCTACATTAGGCTTTAGAGTTTGAGGTTTTAGGGTTTGGGGGCTTCGGGGGTTTGGGTGCAAAGGGAGAGCGCTCAGGACTCAGTCCTTCACAAACTTCCAGCCGACGTACCCGCCGCACGCTCGGCAGGTCCTTGTGACAGATCCGCTAGCCGGTCTTATCCCTAAACCCTATACCCTAAAGCCTAAAGCCAAAAGCCTGAAGCCTAAACTCTAAAGCCTAAACCCTAAATCCAATTCCGGCTCGGGCAAAATTGCAGCCCCTGCAAGACCTCAATCAGCCCATGCGCCATGAGACCCTACGAGATTAGGGCTTAGGGACTAAGGTTTAGGGTTTAGCGCTTAGGTTTAGGGATTGCTAGATAAGGACTCATTGGGACTTTAGGAAGTAAGGTCATAAATTGGGTCACCATACTTAGGGCACGTGTAACCCCTGCTTACTACCTCACATGAGCCCTTAAGTACTCCTGGAGGTTGCTTATCAATCAGGGGTTTACTAGTCCCTAAGCCCCACAGTGCCGTAAACCCTAAACCCTAACCCCGAAACCCCAAACCCTAAACCCTAAACCCGAGACTACTGAAAACTACGAACCTTGCAGCCCCTGGTGTGAGACGTGCAGGCTCGACATCGAAGACCATCCACCACTAGGCTCTGAAGGTTCAAAGCTTAAAGGTTTAGGGTTTGTATGGCCTTGGGTTTGTGTAGCCCTAAACCCTAAACCCTAAACCCTAAACCCTGAACCCTGAACCCTAAACCCTAAACCCTAAACCCAAACCTGAAAGTAAGAAGTGCATGCCATGCTGCACGTCGGCAGTTTCCATGCTGCCCTGCGCAAGGTTGCGCGGTGAGGGCTGGCCAACATCGACGCTGTCAGGAAGGAACCTAGGCTGTGAGGAAGGATGGATCCTTTAAGGGCTCCTTTAAGGGCTCCTTTAAAGGGATCCAGCAGCCTTCATCGCTGTTGTTAGCCTACGATTTCACTGCATACTTATTCGGCACTTAATACCTGCGAGGGGCTGACGACGCGAGTCATCATCAACGCTCCGCGTTTCCGCTGCTACTGTCTCTACTCAAAGGGACAACTGTTCTTTATAATGTTAGGTGTTGCACTTGGCACTTTGAGTTGTCTTGGGGAATCCCGCTCGCCATCTCATACTGGGGTTGTTGTTCGGCGCCGGTTTACACAGGGTCACATCATATGGATGCAGCATTGCGGGATTTCGAGCAGGTTCTTTGTAGATTCAAACGCCCGGACTAAACAACATTGCCCTAGCCTCGTTACCCTAAATAAACCTTAACCCTAAATAAACCTTAAACCAACACCCTGAACCCTCATCCAAAAGACCGAAACCCTTCATCCTGAACATCTAAACTGTGCATGCAAGTCTAAGGAACTACTATGGTATCCCCTTATAGGCCCTCTCCTAAATGATACTAGAACATACCCTCCTCTGTCTCTCTCACTCAAAGCCTATGATTTAACATACCCCCCCTGCAAACCCTGTTCTGATTATACTATACTAACGCTGTTCTAACTATACTATACTACACCACCACCCCCGCCCCACCCCCCCCCCTCCGGAACCCTAGTTTGATGATTAAGGCACCTTCTTTTACTTCAGGTGAGAGCCGACGGGCTAACAATGTAGGGCTAATGTAGGGCTCTACTGCGTGTCCGAGGAGCTCGTTGATGTACCATGCCCCCTCCACACTGCTGCCTGGGGCTTTTAGGGTCTTGCCCCAAACCCTAAACCCTAAACCCAATTTTGGGCCTTGGGTTGAGGGTCGAGGTCGCTTAGAGATGCCACCCTCGCAAACTGACACCGCATGCACGAGCTGCCTGAAGCGAGATGAACGCGTGACGTGCTCCGAAATTTTCCTAGACCGAAGTTGCCATGGAGTTTTGCATAGGTGCACTTGCACTCAGATGCTGTTTCTGAATAGAAAGTGTTGTAGAAACTAATAGAGGTAAGGGGACTCGAGCGAACGGGTCTGGGTCTAGTATAGGGATCAGAACAATTACTAACAGCATGCGCTTATAGTCCCAATCCATCATGCCCCGAATATGCCATACTACAAACCCTACCCAAACCCTAAACCTTAAAACCCT